GGTGTTTTAGGCTGTAACTAGAGCTACATAGTGTAATATATATATAAAAAATCTAATATTAAAAAAAACTATCCTATTGGCCCCTTGAGGCGGAAGGAAGCCAAACCTTATGGGAGCGAACAGAAACTTAAGGTACTGTCACACTAGCACTTTTTCCGTCAATTCTTTTTTGACAATTTTCGGATATTATGTCAATTTCTGAGCGAATTGTAGATTTTCCAGTCAGACGATAATGATCGTTTCCGTCTAAAAACCTTTCCGTCAACTTTTTCAGCCAAGCATACTCAAATCAAGAGCTATATTAGAGCATGTTTGTATTTATGTAAAATAATTTTTTAAAAAATTGACGGAAAAAGTGCTAATGTGACCTTTAGGGTATAACTGCCTTCCCTCAAAGTTGACGCTCCTGTCCCATCCTCAACCCCTTCCCAGCTCTAATCTCGTCTATCCTCAACCCCCTTCCAGCTCCAACCCCTCCCACCCCTGCAACTTAACCCCCATTCTATCTCATACCTTTTCCACCCATTCTATTTTGAAACAACTTCCATCTCCAGCCCCTTTCCCCCCCCCCCCCACAACCCTCCTACCTCAAGCTCCTTTCCACCCAATCCACACTTAACCCCCTCCCATCCCTTCCACCCCTCCTCCATCCCTTCCACCCCCCCTCCTCCTCCCTTTTCCACGCCCTAACCCCTTCCCACTCCCCTCCTCCTTATCCTCCCCTTCCACCCCCTCCTCCCCCCTTCCACCCTTTCCACCCCTCCCCTCCTTCCATCCCTTTCCACCCCCTCCTCCTCTTCCCCCTCCCCTTCCACCCCCCCCTTCCCCATCCACCCCCATGTACCACGCTGTGGGGAGAGGTCCTCGTTCTTGATCCAGAAAGCCCCCTGCCGGTATATGATCTCGTGGGCGATGATGGCGAAGGAATACACGTCCCCCTTCTGCGTGCCGTCCTGGGCGGGAACGGGTTGCGCAGGAGCTCGGGGGCCGTCCAGAGCCTCCCTTGCGAATAAGAAGGGAGGAGAAGGGCGGGGATGGTTAGAAGAGGAAGACGAGAGAAGGATGGAAGAGAGAGAAGGAGAGGTACGGAAGAGAGGATGACGGAGAGGTGAGAAGAGGGTAGACTGAGAGGAAGAAGGAAACCAAGGAAATGTTCGCACCCGTGTGCCGCGCTAACCGACGCGAGAGAGCTGATCCTGACGGTCCGGCGAGGTGGGATATGCACATACCTCTTCCGAAGAACCACTCGCTACTTTATATGGCCTACCACGGGAGATCGCGAAGGCTCTACCAAGGTCAGCCGAGTACGAGTGCACTAGGCGGAGGAGAGACGAGCATGAAGTAGATGAGGAGAGAGAGGATGGGAACGAGGGCGGAGAGACGGGAAGACGCCTACATGTCTCCCTCATCCTGACCTCGGCAGACTTTAGTGAAGAGAGAGAAGAGACCTCCTCAGAGCTCAGAGCGGATGAGATGAAGAATGAGCGGACCGATCGTGATCGAGGATTGATTCGATACGTCAATTGATTCCTGCATAGTTCGGGAGCCTGTATGAGATCAGAGCATTCCGGAGACTTGAACCGATGAGAGGAGGGAGGATAGATGGTGGAGAGAGGGGGAGAGGAGGCGAGGAAGGCGATGGAGAGATGAAGAGGGGAAGATGAAGAGAGAAGATTGAGAATGAGATGAGAGAGAAGAGAGGGAGAGGGGATAGGAAGAGGAAGGTGAGACGGAAGGAAGAAGGGATGGGATCGGAGGCTTGCTGTGTTGACGGAGAGGGAGAGAGAGCCGGAGAAGAGGAACGATGAAAGAGACTAGAGGTTTACCGGATCCGGAGAAATGGATGAGAAGAGAGATACGAGAAGAAGAAGAGAGACGAGGCGACGGCCCACAGAGAGAGAGAAAGACGAAGAGGAAGAGAGAGAGAGAGAGAGAGAGAGAGAAAAGAAGCGGGAAATGGTTAAAGGAGAAGGGACTCAGTTGGGAGAGAAGGGGAAGAGGAGATGGAGAAGTGGAAAAAAAGAGACTGGTTAAGAAAAATTATAAGAAGAGGAGAGAGAGAGAGAGAGAAGGGGAATGACTAGAAGGAGAAGGGAAAGAAGAAAGGAAAGGTTAGGTGATAGAGAAGGCAAAAATAGAGAGGGGAAAAGGTTAAGAGAAACGGGAAAAGGGGAAGAGATTAAGAGACAGAGGAGGGGAAAGAAGATGAAGGAGGAAGGAGAAGAAAAAAAGGTTACATTCTTATTTCGAAAAGAAGAAGAGGAGGAAAGGTGAAGTGCGGTTGCTAAGAAAAGATATTAGCATTGACTAAACCTAAATATCGTTATCTATGAATGACGAAACACTATACTTTCGTAGAAAAAAAACACCATAAACAAATTAGATTTGTTGAAAAGTGAAGTAACACCAGTTTTGTGGCTCCTTACTTTTAACGGATTGAATTTGTGGTTGTTTTATTTTTCTAGTTAGATCTATATCTTTGAATAACTTTGCCTCCCTA